CCCCAAAACCCCAAAACCCCAAAACCCCTGATGGGGTGTTATTTATTGACCACGTCAGCGAATAAATTAATAATTAATGATAAAGGAAGAAGTAATACGTCAGTGGAGGCAGCATCTTAGTGACAAACCTCAAACTTTTGAATTTGATCAGCAAGAGGTGAAGTCGGTCTTCCAAAAACTTAGTAAAAAATATATCGATCCTTCTGTAAATGATGAGGAGGAAGGAGTTGAAGGGATACAGACTAGATCTTCAGAAACAGCTTTCCTTAAGGAAGACCTTGTAGTTCCAACCACTCAGGAGCTTGGAGGAAATTCAGGACTCAGTTCTATAATGGTGACTGACAGGAATGAATTAAATTCAAACATGTTTGAAGCTCTTATAAGAACACTTGCAAGCAAGAAGCAATATTCTCTATATTTACAAACTCTTCTAAGTGAAGATGTAGATGGTTTCTATGCAGGAACAGAATTAGGTCATGGGTCTGATATATACTCAATTCAAACTGAGGCAGTGGTTGATCCTGACTCTAAGATTCTCACAGTAAATACCCCATCTGTAACCTCGATTAAGCTCTGTACTGCAGGAAATATTTTGACTGCTTCTCATGTTGTTTTTCAAGCTAGGTTAGTTTGAGGAAAGAAGGATTATGGAGTCCATTCTTTCCTTGCAAGAATCAGACACCCAGAAACTAAGGAACTTTTTGAGGGACTCGAAGTAGGAAGATCGTATCATAAACTCAGCATTGCATCACAGTATGCATCTTATTTGAAGTTTACCGATTTTAAGCTTCCAAGAGATGCCTTACTTTCTCGGTTTATTACTATCTCAAGCAGTGGGAGAATCGAGATAATGGGAGACTCTAGAAATGCAAACTCGACAATGAATGAAATCAGATGCACCCTCATCCGTGAATCTTGGATCCAGTGCTTTAGTATCCTCAAGAAGAGCCAGATGAGAATGAAGATGACTGAAAGCCACCAAGCAAAACAAAGGGCTGTATCTCTGACTGCTCTTGGATATGCTTCATTCTTAACATGGAATTACAGTTTAATTAATATGGGTGAACAGGTTAAAGAATTCTTACCAATTCTTCCCAACCTGAAATCATTCATCTACGATGAGTTATGATCACTAACCCAAAATGTCTTGGAGTTCCAAACCAGTGGTTCAACTCTAGGCTCCATCAACATGTGGAGCCAGGTTGAGATCTCTCCTCCTAAGCTCAACATAAAAGGGAGTGGCTATACCTATTTTCAGGATACAACGAAATATATTTTCAAAAAGTTGAGCAAAATTATGATTGGCTCTGAAATTAAGGGATTTTTCAGCTATCTGCAAGATTTCTTGCAATTTGTTGAAAACCCTCCAAAGATTCGTTTCCGCCATACTGTAGAAAGCTTGCTGAACATTATAAAAGCATCCCTTCTTTTGCAAATCAAAGAGACAGGAGATTTGCTGAAAAAGAAGAGTCCTTACTCAATGGATGAGAAATGGAACAAGGTCTATTTCATTGAAGTTAACAAAACTGCTAAATTAAATGCTGTTTATTTGACCTCGAAGATTTTCTATGACCAGATCCAGAGCTTAAAGGTCTCAGATGGCTTATACTATTCTTTGATGAGACTCTGAAAAATCTATTGCTGCAGGATGGTCCTTATATATTGCGACAATGTCATCTTACAAGGAGTTTTAGATTCTGAAAATTTAATAAACATCAAAGAATACATGGAAACTCTCATTGATGATGCTGTGCCTTCTATCTATGAGCTTATTACTCCATCTCCAGCAGAAGGGATCAAGTATAAGCAAAGAAGTCATGAAAGTAAGCGATAATTGATATCGATAATCCTTTTGTTCTAGCCCTCATATTAATTTTCTCGAATTTAAATTACAAAATTATGTAACAGATCTAAGTTTTTGCTAATTTATGAATAAGAAAATGTTAGACCTCTAATAAAAAATTCATAGAGGATAATATCTATTGAATATCTAACTGTATCTTTCCTTCCCCTAATCTTAAAAATTTTGTTCTATTTAATCATTTCCCAAATTTCCCTGACACCTTAACCACTGAATTTGCAACAGTCTGATCCTAAAATAGATGAAATCATCTCAGATATATCCAAGAGTTACAATGGTAATTCTGCTGATAAGATGTAAGTCTCTAGGCTTCCTTAAATTATCTTTCAAACTAATTTTCAGATTCTCACCCCTATACAGCATTAAAAATCCAGGTCAAGCTGGTACAATTCCTGGAGCTCTGAAGGAGAAACTGGCTTTAAGGATTACAAGTAAAATCTAATTTATTCTTCCAAATTTTGGTAAAGTTTCAACCTAATCGTGAATGAGAGGGGTTTTGGGGTTTTGGGGTTTTGGGGTTTTGGGG